AGTAGTACTAGTAGTACTGGTAGTAGGAGGTAGTAGGAGTGGTAGTAGTAGTAGTGGTAGTAGTGGTAGTAATAGTAGTAGTCGCAGTAGCAGTAGTAGGTGTACATAAGCCGCGTAACGGTATAAACAGGTGCCGGAAGTAATCGCAGAGTGTTAAGCAAGTTGCTGATAGGGCTTCCAACCCAACCTCGAGTGCCAGTTTTGGCTTCAGTCGCGTGAGGTCTGGGTTCCAGTGAATCAGACCCAAATCTCCGAGACTGCTTGAGTGTTGATCTGCCTTAGAAATGGTAGACATGCTGCCCGAGCTGCGAAACTGAGCAATTTTCTCGCGCTCTTCTGGATCTAAAGTGACTTCATCAATTGTCTGCCGAGTACGTTAAAAGATGAAGATGCAGCTTCCCAGAAAAGCTTTGCACTACCTTAAACCACAACAATTTGCAACGAGAGGAAAGTGATGTGAACGGAAACCTAGTCAAAGAGCTTTGAAGCCCAGTCTCTTAAACCCCAAACCCCTAAGCCGTATACCCTAAACCAACATTCCCTACTCCGACAGTCCCAAGCTCTGCAAAGTTCCCAAGGCTCACAGACGCCGAGCGGAAGGACCACTCCGGTGCCTATCTTGCGGGTCCCGTAAGTTTTACTTTGTGTTTGTTTGGTGGTCTGTATAGGGTCCTACGAGGTTCCTACAAGCGCACTTTTGAGGGGTTATTATACGGGTTTTGTAAGATTCTATCAGAGTTTTAGGGGTTCCGTATCGGGGCTTGCGTAGTAAGGGTCCTACGATGTACGATCAAACATAGGGCCGTCATTTTCTGAAAATGCTGTATAATACCCAAAAGTCATACTCTGACCGGCATCTAAGTAGAGTATCTTTGGGGTTTCCTGCTTTAACCTTTCATGAGTAAAAAGAAGGACCATGCTGCTGCGCTGCAATGGTTCCGGGAGGCGCAGCACCGAGACCTGAGCCTTGGAGCTTTTGGAGAGCAGTTTGGTTCTTAATGTAGGGGCCTTAATAATTAGAATAAGGTTTTGGGGCCCAATATACTATAAATATAATAAGGAACCCCAACGCCCTATTCTAATTATTCAGGCCCCTACATTACCCATTTGTTGGTTGGTTTGTTGCACTTGCTTCCTTAAGCAGTGGTGGAGCATGTTTGAAAACTAATCCTTTGCAAACCGTACTTGCTCCTCCAAGTGCAGGATCGGCTCCAGAGGCACCTAAAATGCTTCAAAGCCCAAACGCTCTAAACCACTTAAACTTAGGAAGGAGGAGCCCAGCAACGACCTCTACGAGCGGGCTTTGTCCTATCGATACTTCCATCCAAGAGCTGACGCAGAGGCCTCGCTCGAGGCAATCGGCGAATCAGGGGCGCCTAGCACTTAACTAATTGATAAATATATTGATGATAGCAACAAGAAGACTTGACAGCTTTGTGCACTTTAGTTGCGCTTCTTACAATTGCATAGCAAGAGATACCCTACTTGTAGCCTTGCTGAATTCCTCCTGATCCCTCAGGCGCACCGAAGCACGTGCGCAGAGAGCCGTCTTTGGGAGGACCCTGGTCTTCCCTCCAACTCCTTGTTGGAGGAGCACAAAGAGTTCACCTTGCCCAAACTGGTTTTCAGAAACCTAGTGCTCCAATACCAACCTTTTGATTTATTCTGGGCTCTTATGAGTTCATAGCATTGTGAAAGTTAAAGCTTCATTAAAAGTCGTCGAAATTTGGGCAAGCAAGGAAAGGGTCCAGTCGCAGCTTTCCGGCTATCCAAAACGTCAACCCACGCCGAAAGCAGACTGCCGTCGCGCCCGACCACAGCCAAGCACCTCCGTGTTTCTTGAACGTCCTTACAATTCCCCTTTGTAGAACATATTTTTATCATTCAGTGATGTTGTTCTTATCGAACCATAACTTTCAAATTTCGTTAGTTATGCAACGTGCCAAGAGCTGCCAGGCTTCAGCCATGTACGCACTGCATTTGCTGGGGCACCACGCCTACGGCCCGAAGCAGGGTGCCATTTACACCGTCGATTTCGATCCGAAGAATCAGCAGGCAATTTGGTTCGGCTCAGTGTTAATGAGGCTCAAGGCTTAGGGCAGGGTATACACACCATGCAAAGCACTGCCAATGCAATACCGATGCAAAAGAGAACACTGACAACGTGGCACTCCTACATGCCAGATTGTGCCGTCGACAGTGAGCTGTAGTGTTGCCCAGTTGCAAAGTAAAGTGTCCATGCTGAACCCCTGACGTTCCTTTAAACTCTAGGCCCCGAAGCACGTGCTGATTCTCTGACGCCTGACGCCTGACAGGAGGTAGTGAGAGCCCCGCTATCCAGTGTGTGGGGTTGCGGGTTTAGAGTTCAGGGTTTCATGTGAGGGCTTGATTAGTGTATAGGGACCCC